CCCCCTACTACTTTGTGTTTTGCTTTTTTTATCATTTCCTTTCTCCCAAAGTCTCCAGGTAACATGCTTGATCCTCTTCCTTTTCAGATCTTCTGCCAGTGGTGGGTGGTCCCCGGTGATGCAGAGAGCGGCACTGACATGTCTGCATCATTATACTACAAGTACAGAGAGCTGTGGTGGTGTTTTCTAAGGGGACGGATCCATGACTCCCTGCACTTCGGCTAGAACTATGAGGTGAGTGGAAATCACTCACCTCATAGTTCTCCTTTAAGTCCACAACCTTCCAGCGGAGGGCACCTTGTGGCAGAGAAAAGGTACTGCAGGGGACAGTGCCAGAGAGAAAGCAAGGATTGCAGCCAGAACTACATTTTATTTTTAGCCACTTCAGCTCAAATTTACTTTTTTCAATTGTGTTCTGTCAATTTTTTTTATGCAATCTATAGACAAACTAATAATAGCAAAAATGTTTATTTCTATTTAGAACAGTGTTAGCTTTTAAATATAGTTTTCATATATAATGCCCCTTTAGCAAAGTGAAGCTGTGCTCACATTGAATACTCCATCATGCAGGAAGGCATTGTATATGATGACATGGAAAGGCTGTTACCACATGACCGGTGAAGAGGAGTGGCTTTGTGGGGCTGGTCACACAGCAGGAAGGAACCACCTGTATAACCCGTACGGATTAGACTATTTTTACATTGACACTATGGGCCTGTGTATTCAATGATAACGTTATACTTTATCAGGAGCCCCCCTTCACTTCAGAGCCCTCCCCTTTCACATCAAAATCCCCCTTTCACATCAGGAGCCCCTTTACAATTATATTTACCTTCACATCAGAACTCCTCCTCCCATTCTAGGAGCCCCCCCTCCCCTTCACATAAGAGCCTCCTCTTTTTCACATCAGAAGCCACCCATTAACATCAGGTGTCCCTCTATTACATTAGGATTCCCCTTCACATCACACTAGGAGCCTCCTCTTTTCACATCAGAAGCCACACATTAACATCAGGAGCTCCCCATTCACATAGGAGCCTCCTTCACATCAGAAGACTACCTGAACCATGGGGAGGCTTGATGCTGTGTAAAAATATGAAGGCAGAAGGCACCCCAGGGAGACACACCCTGGTTGAGAAAGGCTGATTTGGACAGCCAAGATTTGCTGGCAATTGTGGTCATTGAACCACGGCGGGGAACAATTAGCAGGGTGTAGGGAATATGCCCTAGAAACTGTGTTGAAGTTTTTGTAGGGCATAACGCCTACGCCCAAAGCACCAAAGTGGATAAAGAATAACTAGGGCTCCTTTTTTTAATTGTTGCCCAGAGTTGGGCTGTAATAAAGATTAAGAATGTTAATCAAAAAGACGCAGGTACAGTAAGTATTCAGAAACAAGGTGAGCTACTTATAGCTTTTGGCTCTAAGACAAAGCTACACTTGGGTGAAAAGTGAAAGGTTTCCATTACCATTGTGACTTCATGTCTGGAGGCTGCAAAGCCATCAGCACCTCCGAACTTACCTCCTGTTCCTTCCTCATTCCTGTTACTAAATGATACATTGTAATTGGGTAACACTGCACAGTGTTTGTTTAGAAATGTCTTTGTATGGCCTGATAAAGGTGTGCTAATTACTATTCTATAAATATATTGGTGAAAGTCACACTCAGCTTATAGAATCCCTCCAAGTTGTTAATTGTGGTAGGAATCATAGGTAAAAGGAAAAATGCAGGCGATGAGTTGATATATCAATAAAGTAGAAAATGTTCACTTAGTAAAGTGGGGCTATGTTCTTTGTGAATACCCAATCATGTAGCAAAGCAAAAAACAAACAAACATAAATCAATAATGTACGATCCACAGGTAAAGGGATATTAAAGTCAAGGGTTTTAAGCTATTTTAAATCACTTACAATGGATGGTGCTTCTTGATGTTAAAAAGTTTTAGTTTCCTGCAAAATCAGCTGAGCCCCTTCGCACTGGTCCTGATATCCTGTTTTGGGGGGGGGGGGGGGGGGGTTTGTTTTCACAA